AATGACAACCGGCTATCTTAGAGAAGTAAACACAATTTGCTACCAAATTGGGGAAATATTATTATTTATAAAGCTTGTAGTCAGGGAAGGAAGCGTAGGAATAAAATGAGCTGATTTATTCCAGTTATAATGAAAACTTAATCAATGTCTAATAGAAAACATGTCCTGGAGCAGTAAGGGTGGCACGATGAACCCAAAGTGGCTGGTTCGGTCCGTTTCCTTCCTTGTGGATTAAACCATTGAGTCTCAGAATGTGCATTCGCATGTCCTGCTGTACTCAGTGTCCAAGTGCCTTAGTGACACAAGTGCCCAGAGCAGGAATGCATCCAGTGTAACCTCTGTGTAAACAGGCCTCACAGAATATCAATGGGAGTAATAATAACTTATAAGTATATTATCTGCATCGCGGTGGTGAACAAGGCCTAAATTCGTGTAGTAATAGTACAATGTTTTGAAGACCTATTTTTCACATTGTCTTGTAATGATTGTGCTGTCTTGCATGAATCTGTTTGAATATGATAAAATGTGAAGCAGATGTAACTTTCAAATGCACAAACTGACATACAGAAAAAGAAAATGAAATGTTATTGACCACACCGATAGAGTTCATATTCGAAACACAGGACTAAAGCTTGATAAGTCCCATTTTCCCACGCATGTGGTGTATATTCTTCCCATTTTTACTCTAATGTTGTTTGGCACCAGTTTTCTTAATCAATTTTTTTGCGATCAGATTTCCTTGCACGTCTGCATTGTTAATTGTATTTTTAAATAAGGCTTGGTATGGTGTATTATTTGCGTTTCTTTATCAGTTCAGCAGTAGCCGCTAAGATTATGATGAATTGTTGTATTTATGTATCCTTGCATCGCTATTTGGTGTCTTAGGACACATATGAATGGTAACCTGGATGCAGGCATAATGAAAAAATATACAGGTGGCAGTAGAGATTCACATTAAGGAGCTTAATGGCCTTCAGTAACAAGGTCAGCATTCCCGTTGTTATTTGAGTGTGGCCCTTGAGCAGCACATGATGAAAAACAATGTAAAAATTGCATGTCTTGCGTGGAGGTCAGCCAGCTGTCACGGTCTTTACAGGAAAGGAGGTCTGATGCAGCAGTGCAGCTCCACGATTGTGCAAAAAACAACATTATCTTAAAGCACACCCTGCACTGCTCCCTGAGAGTGCACTCAGTAGAAAACATACAGGATTGCACAAGAGCTGCGTTAACCAATGAGAGGACTGTTGCCCCCAGAAACACCTCCTGTTTGGTACTGTCCTAGAAGCAATCCTGACTTTGATTGGTCGAAGGCACCCAGCCCCCCATCCAACCTTCTACCAGCTTTCAGGTTTCAGACCTCTGTGGATTAAGGGGTATCATCACTAATAAAAAGGCGTTTTTTTGTTTTTTTGTCAAAAGAAGAAAACAGATAAGACAAACAAACCTGATTTGTTTTCTGCGGAAACAAAGGGATGTGTGTTGAGTGGAAGGGCCTTATTATAACCGTACGATTACCTACTGTTGCCAGGGGCTTGCGTGTGCAGGAAGAGTAATGCCCCCCACCCCCCGTCAACAAGGCTCCTTAAAAATGCAAGGGAGTGACTCTATCGCTGAGGCTATCAGTTGGAGCGGCATGAAAAAGCCATTCAGTTTAAGATGAATTCACTGCGTTTGTTACTGGAGCAGGTATTATGTGGAACACATGTAAAAATACAGGCATGCTGTCCATTGGAACACACAGGAACACATGGAGATGTTTTTGTGACCTGTGCTGTTTACCTTATTAAAAGGCAAACTTTACCTCTAACGTGCCCCAACCACACACAGGGGCACTCTGGGAATGTGTGGGTGAGGCAGAAATGGTAGAGTTTTCATTTTGATTGCAAATGTTTATTAGGTTGTTATATAAAAAAAGCATTTCTTGGAACTTTGGTGAAGGGGATCCCCTTACAGTTGCATCATATTTGTGAGGACAGTAGCTGTGCACGATACATACGAAGTGTGATGCATTGCAAAAATAATATATGTGAGCTTATTCTGTCAGCATAATAAGTACACAGTTATCTACAAAAGACTGGCTCCGTTTTCCAAAGCAGAAGGGAATTCGGGCGTCGTTTATTAACCAGCATGTGTAAAACACTATAAACAGTACGTCAATGAGGCATGGCCTGCATGTTATGGAACAGCCCCCGGCCCCTCGCCCCCCACCCTCCGAGTCCACATTGTTCCCAAAGGCATGGACCGCAAACAACAAGCTGGGCAAAGTTATTTGTACGCAGAGAGCGACCTTTATTCAAACTCCCCCCACATGAGACCACGAGTCAATGTGAGGTGTGCTGTGGAGCTGGGGGGGGGAGGCAGCACAGGTTGCTTATGCAGAGACGCACTGTGTTTCCCAGCCATGCTGGAAAAAGGGATTTGTTGACAAAGTTAGGATAACCTTTAAGCCAGGCGGGATGTTGATAACCGTCTGAATAAGACAACCAGTGCCCCATCATACAAGTATATTACAATAAAGATCACGGACCAATGCTGCTGCATTCAATTTAGTTACTGGATTTGTCCAAAAGTGTCCCCAGGTCCACCTTGTAAACCAGGCCGAGGAGTTCTGTTGTTTTTTAGCACTAAAAGAGAGCCTCTGTAATACCATCTGCACCACAACATGAAACCAAATCCGAAACAAATAGGGGGTCAACAAACATTGTGTTTTTCCCAAGACTCCACGCTGTGCCAAGACTCTTTTAACACCCCTGTTATCCGGTTACAGACTTAAACGTCTTAAACAAAATAGATCACATTTTAAGAGTCGTGTACTTGGGTGGTGCTGCACAATAATTTGACACAGATAATAAGAAACAGAATTGCACTCACTGTTTTTGCAGCGCAAACTGTGACACGACAATAAATATGAATCTGAATCAGTTTTTATGGCTTAAATGCTGCTATAATTTAGGGTTTTCTTTATGTCTGCCGCATGTGTTCATCAGGCATCATTTCCTGCCTTTCTGCTGTGTGTGTACTGTATGCTTGTGTTTACATTTGTGCCTGTCCTTTAATTGGGTACAGCAAGTCCATGCTGAAGATCACAGAGAAACAGGGCATGTTTGTGACAGCGAGGGCACTGCTGCTCCGGCCTTTGCTGTCGGAACCCCTGGCAGCCTGTCACCTGATCTGTCGTGGAACCGGACCCAGCAGTAGGCACGAGGCAGCATGTACTGCATCATGGGGGGACACTCCAGACTGAGAGGATGGTGGGCAAGAGGACAGGCGTCCCCCCCCCCCTTTCTGGGGAGTTTAATTTATTCAGTGGCCAAGTCATGCTGCATTTGAAGGAAAACACAGAAATTGGGGGAGATATACAGGTTCAAAGCGATTCATCGTGCAGGTCTTACTACTGCCTGTTTCCCGTGAAGCACAATTTGTGCGCCAGTTATCACTGTCTTTGCACGTAGATAGGCTCAGTGTTTTTGAAGGGGGTGGGGAATCAAAGTCCATGCCACTGTTCCTCGGGGTAAATGTCACCGGATTTCCTTTGATGTTGACCACAAGTGGGCTGTTTTTGATGGTAGAAGGGTGGTGGGTGGAAGAGATCGATGTTCTGGACGCACGGAAGTGCAGATCGCGAGCGGGAGTCCAGGGGAAGCGGCCAAAACACAATCGACGGCGACGCAGACTTCACAGGTTCACAGATCAGTTCCCGTTAGGCACAAAAGCTACTTTAGACATTCTACTAGCTAATATGTGTCAGGTCATGTGTTTCATTGGGTTGTAGTTGTAAATGTATAAAAGACAGCCAGCATTAGATTATGATAATTACAAGAAGAAATATGTTATCTTAAGCAGTGCAGGAATCTGGCTGGCTGCTGAAGAGGAAATACTCAACTTGAATTTCATGTCCTCATCTGGTCACATCTGACTTGTTAACTATCCTACAACTAATATGCCTAATAAGTCTGTAGCAAAACAGGTCAGAAATACATGAAAGCTCTCGTAACAATTGTCTTGACATTCCAAAATAATGAAACAATCACATACTCATGGAAGAGTGTTGTGATTCCCTTCTAAGCAGACCTTGATAGTTGGCAAAGGTGTTTTGACAACTGTCTGAGCCTCTTACGACATTGACGTGTTTGTTATGGAGCAAAAATTAATTAAAATTTTAACCTGACAGGGTTTCCAGCAAACAGGAACTGAACTAGTGATGAGAGAGAAACATGACAAGCATTTTTCCAGCTGGAAAAAAATATTAAAAGGGTTAGACATGCACATGACTCTGGAAAACAGCATCACTAAGCAGCCAACAAATGAACAAAGTCAGAGGGCAGATTAGTGCTACGCAAAAGGATAATAAATCACAACAGAAACCAGACCCAAAGAAAAAAGTTTTCAGACACATGGGCGTGTGAATCTGCCGCATGTGTCTGAACATGGCTGGCAGGGATCCATACATCTCTCATTCATAACAGCTTATCCTCCCGCACTGCGGTGCAGTGAGACTGGAGTCTGGCCCAGTAAGAATGAGGCAGGGGACACCCTGGACAAGACGGCAGGCCATCGCAGAGTGTGCACACACGTGCACACACACATTGACACGGACACACACAGACACACTTACATGTTTAAGTTTAGAGGTATTAATTCACCTAACTGTATGTTTTTCGATTGTGGGGGTGGGGAGGCATGCAGACAGGGGGGATCATGCAAACTCCACCCACAAAGTTCTCATAATTTAACACCAACATCAGTGTCATGCCCCGATCGTGCCGATCCTCTTCAGTGCCACACCCCCTCAGCTACCCCCGTGTGGAATCCTCGTGTTATCAGCTGTTTCTAGTTGTGTCTCATTAGTCTAGTGTATTTAAGTTCATATCAGTGTATGTTTCCGGAGTCCGGTCATTGACATTGTTCTGTGCTCCTTAGTGTGTCTCTTCAGAATAAAACCCGTGTTCACCCGATTCCCCCGGCTCCTGTGGCTGCTTCCCCGCTTTGTGCCAAGACAGAATGACCCACCAAGGAAGAATACCTCAACCTGGTGGACGAGGTGATCTACTGACTCCGGCAACACGAGGTGATGGAGGGCCCAGCTGCCAGAGCCCCTGCGGTGCGGTCAAGGGACATAATGGAGGCGATCTCCCCGTCTGGTGACCCGCAGCTCGCAGAGGAGGTGCGGCACAACCTGGTCCAGCTGAGATGCGGAGTAGTTGGGGCTCTGTTAAGGCAGGTGCCCCTTGACAGTGGATTGTCAAGATGATCAGTGCGCACTGTGCATCACAAGGCAAGAGCAGATTTTCACATCATCTGGCCTGGACTGTAAATTCGTGTAACTCAAGGAGGAGGTACGGAGGGGACTGGCTTTCTCAAGGCTTTCGGGGGACCTAAAAAGAGCAGGAAGGTTGTACCTATTCATATGCCGAGAAATGTGACTGCCGGTCACTCCTGGATGTGAGCCTGGCATGAGGCAGGGCCCCCCTTCTTCCACCACCCCTCTCAGGTGTCCCGGCATGGGGGGAGAGCAGAATTTGCACCCACTTCTGTTTGTGTCAGCTGCTTGTGTCACCCTGTGTTATCAATTATCTGTGCACTCCCAAAAGTACTGGGCAGCTAATGCTAACGGCGGCACTAAGTTTGCAGTGTGCCGATGTCAATGTTGCCTCAGATAAACACAAAGCCGCGGCACATAAGATCAGAGGGAGGGGAAACTCCGTCAGTGACACAGAAACCTCAAGTGTTTTCTAGGCACTGCCAGGTGCCTCGGTTACTGCCCACACTCATGCTGACAGCGGTAGCAGGTCTGGACAAACACAATCTGGATGCCAGCTGCCTGGTGGGTTCCGGGATGTTGCCAACATCGGATGGGGATTTTTTTGGTGGTCGGGGTGGGGGGGGGGGGGGGGGGGGGGGGGGGTCCTGGTCCTCTCTGGCCTTCTCGGATTGCCATCAAATAGTCCTGTCCAGTCAGAGCCTTGTTCTGTCTCTGTGGCGGAATTCACACCCGCTAAATCTCCCCCAGCTGAATCATAGCAGGCCTCACGCCAGCTGCCTGGTGCTTAGACTCACTGCCCTTTTCTTCGTCTTTGACCGGAAACAAACTGCTCCCATTTCCCTTCCTGCAAATACTCTAACTGACACACTACATAGTCTCGTTTATCCTCCTTGCAGGGAAATCAGGCTGCCCCGGGGTAAACTTCTTCAAACCCTCTGAAAAGATTCATCATCAACCGATAATCCACTCAAAGATACTTTTTCTCTTGCCAGTTTATTTGTAATCGGCGCTTAAGCAACATTTAAGCCAGTAAATGATTCTGCTGATTAGCAGCAAAGGTGTTAAATGCCCTGGCTGTTAACTTCAAGGTGCTCTGAGCAGAGACACAGGAAGTGAGCTACCTTGGACCTACCTCTGCCATTTAACACATCTAAGCTAATCAAAAGGTAATCAGCTCAACATGAAACTTAGAATTGCCTGGAATAAAGCTATCATGATTGTTTGGTGGTGAATAGCAGCCATCAAAGCTGGCAGTTAGGACTGGACTTTTAGCCTTGCAATTGTCTCGAGCCGAGCCCCAGAGCGAGACAGTGAGGCTGCCCCACATTGCCCCGTGGCATGTGTTCCTTCCAGGGTTTAGTGAACTATGGCGACTATGTGTGAGGCCTCTCTGCAGGTCCCAGGGAGACGCTTAGCATTTCGCAGTCGGCGCAAATGCGCAGTGCCTGGAGAACTGCAGAGCAGCTGGAGCATGTGGAGAGCGACTGGCACTGGGAAGCAAGTATCTGTGGGGCCCTTCATTTTTTTAAAGGGCAGTATGTCGCCCTGTCGGTTAGGACTTTTTATCCATGATCAGAAGGTTGCTGGTTCAAATCCCTGGGTCGGCAGAATGAGCTCACCGTTAGGCTCTGGAGCCAGGCCCTTAACCCCAAATTACTTCTGGAACCAGGTGGCCCTGCTCTCTCAACTGTACAACACTTTGGATAAAAGCAGATGTTAAGAATGTTAATGAATTTCTTTTGCATAACACCGTACATCCTCTCGGAACATGTTGGTCAAATAGGCCACAGCCTTTGCAAGTCTGAACCCAGTAATGATTTTCTGTAATTGTCTTCACCAAAGACAGCTGTACCGGGACTAAACATTCCTGAGAAAAAGTGCCTACAGTGACATTTTTGTCGAGGAGGATGTCTGGTTAGTAGCACATAACTACAGCATGTGTTTTGTACATCTGTGTGTTTATATAATGCCTGATATGCTCCGTACTTTCCCCCTCCATCTCTGTAGTTGACTTTCTGGGAAGGAATGGCAAGCCTACAGTAAGTAGAAGCCCAATGCGAAAGAGTGACCTGCTCCCCACCCCCGCAATATCCTCACATTGAGATCTGTGCCCTGGGCACTGGAATGACTGGGGGACTTTTCAGCTTGGCCTGTCCCTCCTATTTTGGAGATGCTATTTCATTCACACTTCTCTCATTTCAGGTCACATGGCAAAGTGAAGGCCCTGCTCCTCTCCCCTACCCCGATTTTGATAAACACAGGCTTGAGAAATCACAAACATCAAACCTTGCAAGCAAACTTTACGTGCCACACTAACACACTAATGCTTGCAAACCCCACTGTTTTGATGTTTCCTCTTGACATGCACATTTACCTGTCTAAGACTGCAAAGTTCTTTTAATTCACGGCTGGCCAATGCACAGATTTGGCTGGCAGAACCACGTAAACCATTTAATTTGATTACTGGTCAGACCAAGCATTACCAAGACGTCCAGCATATCTGTTTGTTTAAAAAAAAAATGTGACAACCAGATTTGGAAAGGAGCCTACTGACTGGTAAATAGGTGACATTCGACCAGTAACACATATTTCACGCGGCCTTGATGAGCAAGAGATGAATTCAGATGCAATCTCCAAGCTTTGCTAAAGAAAAACATACTAATGTTTACCAAGACCCCTGAGATCATCCTGTGTCACTGATCATTAGGGACAGGGGACAGATGTGTCCTTGGTTAGAAGCACTGCCTCATTAGGGCTGATTAAGGAATACTGCTACCTCACACAGGCCCTAAGTTTTAATTAAAGATTTTGTGTCATGGGATCACAGCCAGAAGAAGGGATGGGAATAACAGCCCTGGGCTTTGTGAGTTTTTCTGATGGTTTCACACAGATCCTTAGAAAATCTGGACCATGAACAATACAGAGGGTGGGAGAACGGGACAGACAGGCGTGAGACACTGCTGAGTCTCCACCCAAACAAGCACCAAGCAGGCAGTTCACTCCTGGGGAGTTCATTTGTGCGACAATGGACACCCTATCACACATCATAACCATTTATGTATGTGGCATGAAAGTGCACATTTTGGGGGGCAGCAGACCCCTCCATAGGAGACAGGAATTTTGGAGGATGGAACAGAGAATTTTTATTGTCACCCTCGGGGTAAAACTGGTGTGTTAACTGAGCAACATGCACAATAACCTTTTTTTGCGCTGCAAACAAGAACAAATAAATCAGATCCCTCCAAAAGCTGGACCATTGTTCTTGGTCTCTCTCTAGAACATGCACAGAGCAAACCTCCTTAATACACTTACCAATTGATTACATGTCAAGAGGAGCTTGTCCCAAGACCTTGTCCCGCTGAAAAATCATTGCCCTCCCCGCAGATTACACAAGGGTATAAATTTCAGGAGATACATGTCCTTTTGAAGTCAGGACGGGTTTAAATTGCATCATAAGCTGTTGTACTCTTTTCCAGAGAGCTACTCCTATGAGTAAAGCAAAGGTTGACTCAGCTTCCCAAAATAGAAGAATCTGATGCAGGGTTGTACAAACTCTGGAGAAGAATTTGTTTACCTGTGATGTCATCTTCAGTAAAAGTCTATTTGTCAACTTTGGTCTGCACTGCAAGTCCAGTTCAAAGGAACCACTGCAATAATTACAGGGCAAGTAAGATAGCCACATAACCAAAGTTTCAAAGATCCTAGACCACAAGATCCCTGACTGATGTTTCAGCACCTACATCTCAGCTAGCAATTTTTTGTTCTTGGAACGTTTACTGAACATTATGATTAAGGTATGGAAACGTTCAAGTTTTCCTGATGTTCCCAGAATGTGATCCCACTACTACAGCTACATATACAACTATGAATAATTTTGTGGTCCAGGTAGCGCTTAACACTTCACACTCAGGGTGCCACACTGATTCCTGCAGTGTTCAATAAGTCACAGCCTTAAATCTTCATTCTCCATTACTGTAACCTCCAATGTTTATATCTGCACAGATCTGATTAGAAGTCTTGCATGTGAGCAAGAAAGGGTACAGAAAAGTCTGCTTTCACCTGATATCTCTCCTGAACCTTTATCACATCAAGTCTGGCAGCCAATAGCATTGTGTGGTCGCAGACGCAAACTTTATGGCATTTCAAGGAGAAATGAGGCACGTCCTGACTCGTTGTTTATGTTCGAGTTAAAGACGTTGGCCTGCAGTTGTCACCATTGCTTGCAGGAACAATGGTCCCATTTTCTATTGCAGGCTGAATTTGAGTGAGTAACAGCTAACAGTACAGAGCTTAACAATAGCTGAGTAGCAGCTGCTGAGAGAGTCAGTATTGCACGTACTATATGACTTCTGGGTGTGAGTAAGCACCATCCCCAGAGGGCCAGATGCCACAAACATCACATTTCAGCCAAGAATCCAAAATACAATGTGATTGTTAACAATGCAAGTCAAGTTTAGTTTATCAAACCAATAAAGCATCATTACCCATAGCTCCCCTGTCTACAGTTTTGCATCCAAAGGAGCAGCATGGAGTTTCAACTCACACATTACAACGGCAATGCGGTGGTGGAGATTCAAAATACCACAGAGGGCAACTGGTAATGCAGGGGGAAATCAACGAACCCAGCCAACCAGTGGCTGCCTATGAATCACACGCACATGCAAACATTTGGTGGTTCACTAGCATGCATGATTCCTTCACTTTCACATGTAGGACAAGTAACAAGGATGATAAGGGGCTTCTGTCTCCTAGGTGTGAAAAGCTTCAAAGCCCATAATTTGAATGTTTCGCTAAGCTGCACGGGAGGCAGAGCCGTCAAGAACAGGGCTGCCAAGTGAAGAGAACAGACGAAGCCTTCAGATCCCACCACTGTGAGTCAACAAACGTGGGACATGCACACACCTCAGACTTACAGTGCTGCTGCAGAAACACCGCATGTGCAAAAGTGTTCATCTGCAGAGTGGATCTGAATTTAGGTAGGTACCACTGCCCAATATGAGACTGCCTGTATGATTAGCAGCGCTCACCACTTGCATTACCGTCCCATTAGATTGCATGTTAATGAAGCATCTGCCTTTTACATGTAGTCTGATGGGTGTGGGCTGTGCAGAGAAGCAATGCTGCACTCAGTGAGTCCTGCTCAGTGACCACACTGTCTGAAAGGGTAATCCCCTTTAGGTTACACTGCACAAATCTTCAGTTGTCAGGAAGACATCGCAGATATCAGAAAGCTTCTTTCCTACTGATGCATGAGTGGAAATCTTAACCAAAGCCTTTTTTGCTAGTTTTATCTCTGTAATGAAAGTCACAGGACTGGGAGTTTCACAGAGCAGGAAGCCTACTGGGAGTTCACCTCAAATGCAGTGAATGTTTTTCAGTTACATGTAATAGCCTGCAAACAAATAGGTACAGGTGGATGCTGACAGGCAACTTTGATTATTCAGAAAGAAATCAGTTGGCAAAAGGGTGATGCCCACATGATGGGGGGGCAGGGGAGGGCAGGACAGCGGGTGCATGGCATGTCTAGTTAGTGCTGTGGGGGCGCAGTGATGGGTCGCTTCTGCTTACCTGATAAAATCTTTCATGTAGGAGTGCACCTGACCCTTGCCCCCCCTTTTCCCCGAAGCGGGCGAGCAAACTGTCCCGCGGTGGTTTGCTTTACACAGCAGCGGTTGTAACCAGACATCGTGCACCCAAGGACTGCTGACGTGACTCAGATGCATTTACAGAGAAGCTCCACCCCCCCCCCCCCTTTCTTCCTCACTTCCTCCCAACAGCCATGACAGTGAAGCTTCTGGCGCCGGGGGCCACGTGAAACAAAGAGCGCACTATGAGTAAACAAGTGAAATCTCTCAACTGCACACAGCTCAAATTCCCCCTCCCCTCTTCTGGACCTCCCTGCAGGTGCCACATCATCTGCAAAGGGGGGGGGTGGGGGTCGGATACTCATTTTGACAGCACCCCCCCCTCACCTGAACTCATGCAAGCTATTGCGCTAAGCAGCTGGCACATGAGTGGAAATGGGTCATTGCGGGTCAGTCGGCACACATGTCGGGCCTGTTATTGCGGCGCGGCCCCCCTCCCGCCTGCTGGCGGGCCGGGCCTGTGGCACGGTGGTCTGTGCCAAGCCCACAGCTGCCGTGCTCTGTCACTAACGGCATCGGCTTTCCTCTGCATGCCGCCCCTCTTTCCTGTCACAGTGGTGAAAAACTCGAAAGAAGGCACACTGTTGGCAGTCAGTCTGCGATTACAGCACAACGGGGGGGTGGAGGCACATACACTGACACACAACTCAAGTACATTTTCACATGTTTATTGCAAAGAAAGCACACGGTGCTACACTTGCAGAGTCCCGGCTGCGCACGTGTCCACTTTGTCTGTTCAGAAGCATCATTCCAGATGGCTGCCCAGTCTACTCCAGGCTCCCGGGATAGTGTAACCAATGCAGTTTGCAAAACGTCGACAGTCTACGTTTAATAAATATATATTTGCCCCCACACAGCTCATCAGCAGCAAGCATAGTTTAGCCTTTTTTTCTGTCAGTTCGTTTGACACCCTTTAACCACCCATGTCTCCAACCCTCAGTCTTAAGTCCTCCTTACAGAGACACGATCCAGTTTTCAAGTACTGTTCTCCATCGTTGATAAACCACTAGCAGGACCCACCCAGCTGCCCCTAACCACATCCGTGGTTTTACAGGTGGGGCGTGGGTTTGAGCTGTCCTCTTCACTTCCTTCCAGAGTCGTCAAGAATCCAACAGCCCAGTCCATTCATCTCCTCTCTCCCACAGGATAATCCAAAGATTTCCTAGAAATCGCCAGGAGGGGTTGGGTGTAGATTCTGTCTTTCACCCGTTCCAAAAGGATGACGTCGTGCCCAGGGGTTAAACATCCACTTGGGCTCAGCTGGATGCCTGCTCAGCGCTCGGGCAAGGTGATGGCTGGTACCCACTCGTAACCGCTGCGGCTCTCTTCGCAGAACAGGGCCAGCTCCTCCAGGGCAGGGTCCTTCAGTGTGTCTACGCTGGGGCTCTGCGAGGCAGGGAAGATAAAAAAGGCTATGAACAACGGCCGAGGGCGTGCAGTTCTGCAGGAGGTGCAGCGTGACACAGAGGCAGCAACGCAGAACGTTCTCAGGCGGCAGCAATTCTTACCGTAACCAAGATACAGTGGGCGTCTCTGGGCTCCTCTGACTCATCGCTGCCAACGATCTCAGCCAGGCGCTTCACGTCGCTCACCCGCACCACGTTGATGTCGTTGTCAAAGCAGAACGCCTGTATCAACGTGAAGTGGATCTGCAGGGCGATGTCATATTCGTACTCCTCGTCGGTGGCCAGGACGCAGAAAGCCACACTGTCTGGGTCACTGCAGGATGATGACAGCGTTTTTAGAACTAGAGCTCCAACATGATGCAACAGCAGCAAAAGACAAATGGCTCTGCACGTGAGGTACAGTAAGCAGCGAAGTGCTGCTATACTTACACATTCATGACCTTGGCGGACTCGTACACCCCGACTGTCAGACAGTCCTGCTTCTTCGCGGACACCAGGAGCTGCTCTAGTGCTCTGCCAGCACACTGCATTCTGGAAACATTCAGATAAAAAAAAAAAACAAGTTTAGATACACGAGCCGGTCATGCATATCGAAGAATTATACCTTCCATCCATCTGTCTAAAGCCCTTACTTATGAATCGGATTCCGTTTCTAAATAAAATAGTCCTGTGTAGCATATATTAAGAGAGCGAAAGATTGACATTTACCTGTCATTAGATACGACTTCGCTCTCCTGTCCTCGAACTTCCTCCAGTGTCATGGTTAATATCCAGTTACACGGCAGCAGACTGTAAGACCAAGCGCTTGTTTCTCTAGCCACGGTTGTGTGTGGGTTACACGGCTCTGCCGGCACTTTTATAGTCTGCGGCAAACGTTTCTCGGCAGTGGGAGGATCTTCCGTGGCTGCTTTTACTGATTGGTTGAAAAGACAAAACAAATGTTAATACATTTTCGAGTCATAAGCCCGGCGCGTGTCGACACCCCACGTGGGCAGAAAATCACTACGCCTCAACTGTTCCTTTTGTTATCATGGTTTCTGGGCAGACCTGGACTTGCCTTTTAAAAGATAAAAGAATCCAATACATTAGTGGATCCTTATTGCACATTTATGAAAGGCAAGCGTGCAAGTTGCAGGTGGTGAATTCTATTGTATTCTCATGCAAACTTTGACTGTTCGTCTGCGGTGAATTATAAACGTTTACTAGCTCTGAACAAATATAATCAGATTCACGATTAAATTTATATGTTGATTAACAAATAAACTTAATCGATTCTTTGTGCTTCCTCCAAATGCAATGCAAATGAAAACATCTTATGAAGTTAATGTTTTAAAAGTATTTAATATATACATTGTGTTTAATGTAGACAAACAGAAAAGCTTATGCTTAAATTCAGCAGACTGAGCACGACACACGCCTCTGCTTTGCACATGTATAGCGTCCCCATAAAAGCCTGACTTTGGCGCGTGGCAATTAATGCCATGACGGCCTGGGTTTGTAACAATAGCCCCCGTGTTCCACCTGCTGCGCGCCCTGTGACATGGGGGAGGGTCAGCATGCGCTTAGCCTAACTCCCCGACCTTGTCATTGTCTGAGACAGATGTATACACATAGATCCAAAGCGTTAACTCTCCCTCAGCTCGACTGATTTTTGACATATTCATAAATTCAGCTCCCGCAACACTGACCAGGATAAGCGTTTTTATAGAATGGATGGATGGATATTCAACAATCACTCGCTCTTACTGTGTCAAAATGTTTAGTGACAGCTAAATATTTTAGATATTTAAATGGATTCGTTAGCGAAACATTGCCTAATCGTTTGGGAACGATGCAATAATCTAAATGGTATTATTGATAAGTAAAATCAGCATCAACTACTGATTATACAGCAGATCTGAAATGCTATATGTTATGTATCAAAAATATAAAAATTTAAGAAAGCAGTATAATTCTCATTTTATAGTACTTGCGAGCGTTCGATTTCATCTCGCAGTGGTGAAAATACAGTTGCGCTGAAGGCGCCACCTGCTGGTGAATTTCGATGAATTGCGTAATGCGCTCACTGAAGGTTATGAGTCATACTGAGACCACTCACGAACCCACCAGGTCATGTTGCGTGACTTCAGGTAGGCTACATGTAGAACCTGCTTCGTCCTATACTTAATGCATCCTTTTTCGCAAGGAGTGCTCAGTACTATTACTGCGTTTAAAAGTATTTTATGATAAAGCTTCATATTGATATAATGCAGGAAATGTGATTTGTGGTATGAATTAGTACTGATGCAACCATGATTCGTTAGATTATTTACACTGGTATATATGCAGTTGTATAATACAGGTAAAGTAGTATTTACCATATTGTATGTCTATCAAATGACTATACAGACGATAGCTGTCAATAACAATATAACAGCATGTGTAGATGGGCATTTCTTGCAGAAGATAATTTCATTCCCCAGGGTGAAGCCACTGATTCAATCAGAGCAAATTGGGTATGTGACATATAAAGTTAAATGGGTACATGACGTGTAAAGTTGGAAAATGGGAGAAACTTATACAAGGACAGAAGTGATTCTAACGAAGTCAATCACACAAGGTTCACAACAATCACTAACAGATGGATGAGAAACCTCTCTCAGCGTATTTCTAGATAAGCGTTATTTTTACTCTGGAACAGAAACTGCCCTTAACTAGGTACTAAAAGACATAGATGCTCGGGTGTTATGATTGATGATATTTAAAACTTAAAGTTTGACTTTGCCACTCATATAAGCAGATAACAGAAAATACTTCTGCCATCTAGTGGTAGTAGTTTAAATAGGCCCTAATTTTCAAGGGGGAATAAAAGACCCCTCGTTTTAATTTCAGCTTTAAGTTTAAAAAAGTATTCCCACTCATATGTGAGAGATGCAAATTAGGATTAGCAAAAAAATACGGACTCAGGTGTTGTTTTTTTAATGTTTATTGGTCATTAAAGTTAAACATGGGTGCCATTTCAATTAAAATTCATAACGATATCAGTTATGCCAGCAAAACAGCAAACACGTCTTTCGGTTTGTACAGATTCCTTCCTCGGTAACTTTCATGTCCATCCACGCATTCCATGTTGTCGGTTTCACGTTCTCGACGCCAGTCCAACATTGTGTAGTAAACATTTCCACGAAGCCTTTCAGTAGCTTACACAATGTCCAATCACCCCTTGTACACTACAGAACTTGAGTCCTTGGGAAAGCGAGATCGACAACGCATTTGCGGTATACACCCCCAATCCGAATGGCTCGTTCTGCACAGACCGACCACCGCTAGGAGCTCTACGGCATACTCTCGCCCTTCCTGGAACTGAACTCTTCGGAAACATCCAGCGATGTGCAGGGTTGAGCTCACCCTCCCATTTTCGGATGACAGCTTAATTCCTTCAGGTTCCCAGAATCCATATTAAGACCCATTTCAGCGCTCCGGGAAAGTTACTTCGGGCACCCATTCATTCATTCTGCGACTCTCCTCGCAAAACAGGTGCAGCTTCTCCAGGGCTGGGTCCTCCCACGAACCTTCAGCTGGGTTCTGTTGCGATACAAGAGAAAATAAATATCAGCATCACCGAATACGAAACCATGAAACTGAACTGCGTTAACATAACGCTTAATAGTCAAATGCATGCGTATAATGAGATACATACCGTGATCAGAACGCAGTGCGCATCTTCAACATCTCCGGACTTGTCGCCGATGATATCAGCAAGTCGCTGCATGTCGTTCACTCGGACAATGTTAATGTCGTTGTCGAAGCAGAAAGCCTGGATCAGGGTGAAGTGGATCTGAAGGGCGATATCGCACTCGTATTCCTCGTCGGTTGCCAGTATGCAAAACGACACGCTGTCCGGGTCACTGCAAAGAGCGATAAAAGAACGTTACTATTCATTCATTCTTTCGCACTCAGGAAATTCACGCAGACGCAATTTTAAGTATTCCAAGTCATTAAGTGTTTACTTACTCGTTCATGATTTTCGCAGATTCGTACACGCCAATAGTCAGTCGGCTCTCGGACTGAGCTGAGATGAGAGCCTGTCTCAAAGTCTTTCCTGTGCTCTGCATGCTGACTGCGAAGTATGGGCAGGCAGCAGGCGGACAGTGCAATAGAGCGTTGTGGCGAATGTCACCTGGAGTCAGCATTTATAATCCCTCCCCTGACGCTGACTTTCCGCACTCGCTCTGATTGGCTCGATAGTACAATCGACTGACTTGAGGGCAGGCGCGTGCCCATAGACCAACCCATTAATAAATCATAGTAAAAAAACAAACTTTAAATGTAATGAAAAATATCCACACACTGAAGTATCTAATTGTTATTGTGCATTATTTATATGTATCATGCAAATTAAAACGTATGTAATTAAATATACTTTACTATAAAACTTACATTAAAGTTTTGTAGTTTTAATCTTAATTTTTGTAATATATTTTTTATCTTAATCTTTAGCATAATTTTCAATAGCAATTTCTATCGAAATGAGCCATTTCTTCTGGGTTGGACGAAGCAATTGCATTATATTATTCGTCAGCAATTATATCATTGTTGAAACGCGTTTTTATATGTATACGTGAATGTTACACTGTATTGTACAATGAAACATAATAAGCGAAACGACTAATGTATGGGCCAGACTATGAGCGGCACGCGCTGCGGCTTTGTATCCAAGAAGTCTGGGCAGACAATAGCCCAACTTCGACTCGTGTCATGAGGAATTTCCTTATCCTTAATTATCTTCAGGGCAACAGCTCCATCTGCCAAAATCGGGGCAGGGCAGAGGTCAGCACAGGCCACTTTTTATGCCTTGAACCCGAGACAGATGTACAGGGGAGTTATATTAGCATCCGTGCTGTTTTCAAATGAGTTCCACCTAAACAAGGGGAAGCTTGCGCAGAGTTATACAACTGGAATAAAGACTTGGGTAAATTGCAGTATAATAATTCATTTGAGAGAAATAAAGTAAAGTAAAACTTAAAAAACAAGATAAACGACAAGCATTTCTAAGATTTTACGTCGTCAGTGATAGTAATTACACGAGGAATGCTGATATGCATCTGTATCGATATGCCATGTTATGGGTGACTTCGGCATGCGTCCTTTCATTTGGCTGGCACTGCAACGGACCACCTGTCACCCATGAATGCATTGTTTAAACTGGGGAAGGGTATGTGTCCAATCAGTCTAAAGATGTCATTTGAATTATAACTGACGTACACGTGCCATTAAAGCAATGTTTATCAGCTGCAATAAGTTTTGCAGCAGGCCTACATTGCTTTCATGCTAAATTTGGTCCTAGTGCCAATAAATATAATAAAATTTGAATATCGTAAGATTTCACCAAGTAGATGTTCATCAGTTCTAACTGAAAGCCATTTGTGATGCAATTTCTTTTAAGTAGGCTACTGGAGATAGATTATCTCTTACAGAGGAGCTGTTTGCAACAAATACTAATGTAATAGCGGAGTATAGAAGCAAGTTGATTGACAATCAATTCCCGCGCATTAAAAAGAAAACAGTTCTTCAGTAACTTGGTTGGAAGGACCAGATTAATAATTTCTTTGATGTGCTTGTTACTTATGCAAATATAGGCCTAATCAATACCTATACGTAGTCGTCGGTGTTTTAACAGATACACTGCGTGTGCATCAGACTGCAATGCAAATCTTGCAGACTAAATTGTCTTAATTGTAATATTAAGATACAAGTTGTTTGGTGCCTCTTTTCTATAATTAGAATTTTGTGAAATTTCGAGCGGCACGTGCTGTTTTACATATGTGAAGGCTCGCGGACAATGGGACGGCACACGGCAGCATCTGGGGGTTCGAGTCGTGTGCTCTTCGGGGCCTCTTCATTGCGACACGTCTCCATCTGCTCCGGGGGTGCAACCGCCAGGAGGGGGCTTATTGATCCTTATCTTTTACGGACTTATTTCCAGTTGTGTAATTTCTTGGGGAACAATTGTCGTTACATTCGTTACCAAATGATTGCTTGCAATATAGAATTAGACGTCACCAGTTTGTTTTATGTACTTACATTTCTCTGTACATAGGCTACTTTTTAAATGAAATACTTCTTCATATGTTGTTTAAATCTATAAAATGGCATTATTGACCATGTACTTTACAATCGTAAAGTAGCATGGCACTCTGTAAAATTATAAATGCCGCTTATATGTGTAATCTCTTACGAAACCGCTTCTATGACCAAAAGGTGACTAGGGTAGACTATGTTTGAAATTAATACACAACATCCACGAATTCGCTTTGTATGCCTACCATTAGAGAACGGCTGTTCATTCAGACACAAGCAGCAGATTGTGGCCGGCACACGCTCTTCATTTGCATTTGTATAGAAAGGCTAATAATAGCAGCGATTTCAGACTTGGGGCCACACAATAGGCCTTTCAGCCATCCCTTTTTGTGGAGGATCGTAGCTCCACCTGTCGATAGTTTTTTTCCTGGGGGTCGGGGGGGGGGGGGGGTGGTTGGGTAGGGCCTTTTTCCTTTATCGTCACTTTCACTATAACAAATTGTAGGGAAAAAATCTACGGGTTAGAAGGGGTGTAGTGAAATGAGTTCGCTATGATCTTGACTAAAAAGTAAGATTTCTTTGAACGCAAGATTAAAATGATGGCGCAGCGAGGAGAACAAAAGTAAAGATATTACTGGGCCGGCCACGAGCACAAGTGAACAATTACATTAGCATAGCAAAGGTCCCCCCGGACAGCCAATGACATGCCGGGATTCCAACAATAGCGGGGATCCCTACCGTATAAAAACGAGGGAGTGACCCGACTGCAGCACATCGCCGGATCACACCAGCTCATCGCAATGACTTTCGAAGAAGTACAGAGCAAGGCGGACGCTGGTCAGTTTATTGGGGAAACATTAGAAGATGCATTGACTGTGGCTAAAAATAACGACTGCCTTACGGTCGGAGTATACGAGTCAGCTAAAGTCATGAACATGTAAGTATGCCTTAACACTTGGGACGTAAGCGCGTTTGGAAAGTGAGCGAAGTTAGTGTTTGAAACCTTTTGTGAACTTGTTAGTAATCCACGTTTTGTTTTCTTTGCAGTGACCCGGACAGCGTGTCGTTTTGCATACTGGCAACCGACGAGGAATACGAGTGCGATATCGCCCTTCAGATCCACTTCACCCTGATCCAGGCTTTCTGCTTCGACAACGACATTAACATTGTCCGAGTGAACGACATGCAGCGACTTGCTGATATCATCGGCGACAAGTCCGGAGATGTTGAAGATGCGCACTGCGTTCTCATCACGGTATGTATCTCATTATACGCATACATCTGACTATTAAGCGTTATGTTAACGCAGTTCAGTCTCATGGTTTCGTAGTCGGCGGTGCTGATATTTATTTTCTCTTGTATCGTAACAGAACCCAGCTGAAGGTTCGTGGGAGGACCCAGCACTGGAGAAGCTGCACTTGTTTTGCGAGGAGAGTCGCAGAATGAACGAATGGGTGCCCGAAGTAACTTTCCCGGAGCGCTGAAATGGGACTTTATGGAGATCCTGGAAACCTGAAGGAATTACCATCCGACCAGAAAGGACGATGGGAATCCTAAACACACACTGGGTGTTCCTGAAAGAGGATGCAGTCCCAGGGAGCGCCGGGATAGGTCGGAGATCCCAGCGATGGTCGGTACCTGCCCGAATAACCAAGGTCCTTGTACTGGACGAGGTCTGGTGCGGCAGGAGGAGGAGACAAGAGTTTGCTTCAAGAAACTTGGAAAGTGAACCGTAGAGAAACGCCTTTGAAGAACTAACAACATGAAGATGGAGAACATTCATTTCTTTGAACGTTTGTTTTGTAACCGAAATAATTGAACGCGAGCACAAATGAAAATGATCTTGCGTGCTTTTGTGATCGAGATTAATAAAATGGTCAAAGAAAATGTTTTGTGTTATTTCATGCATGGATCATACTCTGTTTTAATTTACCGACCGATTCTAATAGAATAGATTAATTATAGAAGTGTGTTTCTGAATCGTGCAGTAAAATAGAGCAGAATCTAAAGAAAGGGGGGCGGGGGGCGCGCACTGGCATTATAACAAAGCGCCCGTCGCACGCCTCAGCCATCTGCATGTCAATGACACGAGTACAATAGTAGCACCTTGCCCCTTAACATCTTGAGGCCCATTATCCAGCAGATGTCCGAGCTGCAACTGCTCCATCTGCCAGGGTGGATGGGTTGGGGGGGGGGGGGGGGGGGGCTCACAGTTTTCATCCAATGCCTCTATTGTGTACAAGGGGCCCCCCTCAAGTCTGGCTGCTAGTTTGTAAACATCTACAAAAGGATCCAGAGGCAAAAGTGTTCAGGATTTCTTAGTGTTTTATGTTGATCTTAAATACACCTCCTTGTTTTGCTAATCAGTGCTACATAATATTATGAGCATAGCTTAATTTTATAGGCTATTCATAATGTGAAATTTGATATTTCTGAAGTGGAATCAAAAAAGGCAAAATGCAGGAATAAGTCACAGATAAGCATTTAATGCATTTTAACATTCAATAAAAAATGTGCAAAAAAGTGCAAAAATTTAAAATAAATCAACAGGACTACGAACACAAATGATCTGATTAAAAAAAACAGGCACAGAAAAAATGAGACATGATTTTTTACACCATTTTATACATGAATACATTCTGATCAACAGCATGTTTCATCAGTAGGCTTTTTATGTAACTGCATGAATACGATTCAGAAATGCTTCACTGTCGTAACAGATCATAACATCTTCACCTGAATGCATCATATAGTCAATAGTTGCTTACATTTGTACAGGAGGAACTGCAAAGAAAGTGGGGATTTTGGGTAAGAGTCACAGACATCACTACAAACAATGGAGCAAAAGCTGAACAGGACAGATACAGTTACGAACATTTCATCTGGAGATTTTCCCTTCTGTTGTAGATGTTCAACAGGTACCACAGACAAGTTAATTTATCTGGTTAAGTTTATCACCTTGCGTGAGAGCAGTGCTGCCAAATGTGAGATCATGATTTTGTCACTATATTACCGTCACGCCATTTCATCCTTCTTAACTGTAAGGAGACTTGGAAAAATAGAGAATGAAAAATTACAATCGCCCGTTAAAAATGAATATTTAATCTTAATAAATCAAGACACAAGTACATCGAAGCTATTAAAAATATATTAAAGGATTTCATTATTAAAAAGTGCAGAAACAGCATAGCCGCTAGCTGCAAGCTGAAGGCTCGTTACCCTCTGCTACAAGGGTAAAGAGAAACAGGATTGTTTATACATGCCCAACATTATACACATCCGAGATAATCCACTGAAATCTTCATTTACTGTCAATACTAAATGTTTAACTTCTTTCATATGATTTTGTATGCAATGCCCTGTTTTTCTGGAGAAATTATAATGCATAATAATAATGATAATAACATATAACAATATAACAACCCTAACTTGTGAAAACAGTAAATGCAGTGCATATATGAAGGACAGTAGTTCCACCAGAATAACCCTGATCTCCACAGTTTGAAGATACTTTTCTGTTCCCTTTCCATCGGTAAAAGTCAAGGTGAAACTTAAAAGCGAGGCTTTTAGAATAAATGTTAACATTTTCGTTTTTACATTTCATCCGAGTGGTGTTTCTGGATGGTAACTGTGATCGATTTCTGCTCCCTCCAGTTTCTGTCGGACCCTGGAACGTGGTACTCAATGGGCGGTACTGGAGTTTCCGGCAGCCTCTCACCCACGGAGCTGGCCGGCTTCAGCTCGGACTTTGGTGGAGTCGGGAAATCAGAAGATGAGTTGCTGTTGACTCCAGACTCGGACTCAGGATGCTCCACCCGCTGGTAGTCTGGAGTGTGAATCTGACTGCTGGAGAACTTGTTTTGTAGACCCAGGATGTTCTCCTCAGCCTCAAACTCCAGAGAAGGAAGCGAGGAGCTCTCCTCAACCGGAATGGAACGGATAGTTCTTGACAATACTGCAAGACAATAATATATAATTAGCTATAGGGATAATTATAAGATATGCATTTTAAATAAAGTATCTGCTTAGGACAATAAAACTGCTCTCAACCACCCATTTTCCCCTTACACCTCAGTACTATGATCACAAAATCCCAATTTGTCTCAGAATTTGTCTGGTAACCTTAGATACATGAAACATGTTTCTCAGTGAGTCAAGTTAAGATAAAGGCATCCTTTGATAGCCCACTGCAGCCAGCCATCCTGAAGGGTCAAAGGTAAACTGTACGTCTCCTTTTGACGGACAGCAGCGAGAATTACCTCCTGAGGGGGCATATAGATCCGTCTGATTCCCGCTGCCGCCAAAGGGGTTGACAGAAGGAAAGATGATCAGGCAGAAAGACAGCAGGAACACCTGGACGTAAAGAAAGGAGAAACCATTAAACAAAGCCGGTGGCATTACCTAAGATGCACTTTAGGTTTTTGTCTCATCAGTTTGAATAGATGCTTCCTTATTTAAATCACTAGGTCTAACAAAGGCAGCTGGATAGCACCTGAAATCGGATTATCAATTGCCAGTTTATAAATGATTTACTGAACTGACACAAAATCAGACCATGACACTGGCTGAAATGGGAAGCTCTGCCTCCCCCTTAAGGTTCACCGTTCATTAGCGTGGTAAACCCGCTTGTGTGTTTTGGGGATGAGCAGACGGGTGGGGGTTCAGCACAGTGGACTCACCATGAGGCAGGTGCTGGTTGTGCTCGTCTTCATGGTTGAGAGTTTTATCAGAGACTGCAGCTTCCTCACCTGTTCAATCAGAGATCTGGGACAAGAGAACTTATAAATAAGGCAGAAGAGACCTTCATGTACATTTAGAAAAATGGCTGACAAACACTGGGAACATTCACCAATAAAACCAAGATGCGAGAGTGCATGAAATAATAATGCCTCTGCAGCTCTATGGAACAAGAACGACTGCTATAAGACGTCCCCCGGGTACAGTTTGATTCTTCCTCAGAAGTACAATAGCTGACTGATCATAAGTCATAATGTCCCAAGTCTGCCTGCTGCACACAATAACAGCTGCTCTTTGTTACAAGAACAGAGCGAAACAGAAAGAAAGAGCAGTCTTACATGTTTTGTTTCTGCAGGGTTTGAACCTTCTTTTGCAGCTCCTGATTCTGAGCAGTGCAGACAGCAACCCTGAGAAAAGGGCCGTCCATCAGACACACAACGAATGGATCTCAGCACATGTCACTCTACACCAGCTCTGTAGGTCACAGGCGGCATCAATAAAACAGCACAACTCATATAAAATAATCCAAAGCAAAGTCATTCAGCTTCTTTAATCATCATATTTCATTTTAATGACAAAAGCAAGGATAACTAACAGGATAAGTTAAACCTGATGTAATTTCACTGGAGACAAAACACTTTAAAAAAAAAAAAAAAAATCATGTTACTTCAGTTCAAAGTGAGATTCATCTAGTCTACATGATTTTCAATTGTATCATTTGTACCTGTTCATAAGGGTTTTCCACTCTATCACAGTGATTCCGCATTTATTCTTACTCACCTGTTCTCTAACCCATCCACATACACCTTCTTCTTTTTTCGGCTTTCCTGTGCAGACTGCTTGTTCCGGATCTTTCTCCTAATCCTTTTCAGAGTCCTCTCCTCCGCCTGAAACAGTTCCAGAATCACTCAGGATTGTGAGACGTAAAAATGCAATAAACTTTTTACTGATGCCAGACAGAGAGGAATAATGGAAATATGAATATTTAAATATTCAAAAGTAATAAAACTGCCATTTATCCTGGGGTGTGGCTCACAGCCAGCAGGTGGCAGCAGGGAGTATAAATTCTACACTCTGCAGACTTGCATCACGAACAGGAACATTGTTATTACTAAATGGTGTTTTGTAGAGGATCATAGCTACAAAAATATTAATAAAAAAACACAAGTTGTCTCTTCAAGGTTGATAAAAGGTTTCCAATTTAAATCCAGAGTAAAACAGGACCACTGTACCTTTGAGTAAATATCTCGATTTAATACAAAGGGACTTTCAAATATAAATACAAAAAAGTACATAAAATGTGCATAAACGTTTTGTGTAAGCACATCATTTGCTGTCAAAGGTTAAACTTTCTTCACAACTCCCACTAGGGACGTGTAGTTTGCTTCCTGTGGTTTCGTACATTAGACCCTGATAAAGGTGGTAATGAAGGGCAGTAAAGATACCAGCTGAGCTGCTCATCTTCTCAGAGGCTGTGGTGTCTGTGTTCCCCATCAGGGCGTTTAACCCTTGGTCACACATCCCAGATGGGATGACAGGGACACACAGGGACCGTACCTTTGTCAGGGGCATGTGAGTCGGCATGGATATGCCTTCTTTTGTGAGAAGTCTCTTCTCTTCAGCTGTCAGAACGATTTCCTGGAACTGAAGAAAAATCTCATTCAGAGAGTACTCATTCTACTCCTTCATTCCAGCATGAAAGGTTAAAATTCCACCTTAAAAAAAAAATTACCGTATGTGCAGTAAAAAAGTAAAAACACCAGGTGGCGCTCAAGAGTTTTAGAAGAACGCTCTCCTTTGCCCAGCTGCAACTGGCCCATTTTCAAGCAATTTTCATCCTCATAGTCTATTTGCACAACACATTGCACAATAATTTATCCCAACCCCCCCCCNTAGCTCCACCTGTCGATAGTTTTTTTCCTGGGGGGCGGGGGGGGGGGGTGGTGGTTGGGTAGGGCCTTTTTCCTTTATCGTCACTTTCACTATAACAAATTGTAGGGAAAAAATCTACGGGTTAGAAGGGGTGTAGTGAAATGAGTTCGCTATGATCTTGACTAAAAAGTAAGATTTCTTTGAACGCAAGATTAAAATGATGGCGCAGCGAGGAGAACAAAAGTAAAGATATTACTGGGCCGGCCACGAGCACAAGTGAACAATTACATTAGCATAGCAAAGGTCCCCCCGGACAGCCAATGACATGCCGGGATTCCAACAATAGCGGGGATCCCTACCGTATAAAAACGAGGGAGTGACCCGACTGCAGCACATCGCCGGATCACACCAGCTCATCGCAATGACTTTCGAAGAAGTACAGAGCAAGGCGGACGCTGGTCAGTTTATTGGGGAAACATTAGAAGATGCATTGACTGTGGCTAAAAATAACGACTGCCTTACGGTCGGAGTATACGAGTCAGCTAAAGTCATGAACATGTAAGTATGCCTTAACACTTGGGACGTAAGCGCGTTTGGAAAGTGAGCGAAGTTAGTGTTTGAAACCTTTTGTGAACTTGTTAGTAATCCACGTTTTGTTTTCTTTGCAGTGACCCGGACAGCGTGTCGTTTTGCATACTGGCAACCGACGAGGAATACGAGTGCGATATCGCCCTTCAGATCCACTTCACCCTGATCCAGGCTTTCTGCTTCGACAACGACATTAACATTGTCCGAGTGAACGACATGCAGCGACTTGCTGATATCATCGGCGACAAGTCCGGAGATGTTGAAGATGCGCACTGCGTTCTCATCACGGTATGTATCTCATTATACGCATACATCTGACTATTAAGCGTTATGTTAACGCAGTTCAGTCTCATGGTTTCGTAGTCGGCGGTGCTGATATTTATTTTCTCTTGTATCGTAACAGAACCCAGCTGAAGGTTCGTGGGAGGACCCAGCACTGGAGAAGCTGCACTTGTTTTGCGAGGAGAGTCGCAGAATGAACGAATGGGTGCCCGAAGTAACTTTCCCGGAGCGCTGAAATGGGACTTTATGGAGATCCTGGAAACCTGAAGGAATTACCATCCGACCAGAAAGGACGATGGGAATCCTAAACACACACTGGGTGTTCCTGAAAGAGGATGCAGTCCCAGGGAGCGCCGGGATAGGTCGGAGATCCCAGCGATGGTCGGTACCTGCCCGAATAACCAAGGTCCTTGTACTGGACGAGGTCTGGTGCGGCAGGAGGAGGAGACAAGAGTTTGCTTCAAGAAACTTGGAAAGTGAACCGTAGAGAAACGCCTTTGAAGAACTAACAACATGAAGATGGAGAACATTCATTTCTTTGAACGTTTGTTTTGTAACCGAAATAATTGAACGCGAGCACAAATGAAAATGATCTTGCGTGCTTTTGTGATCGAGATTAATAAAATGGTCAAAGAAAATGTTTTGTGTTATTTCATGCATGGATCATACTCTGTTTTAATTTACCGACCGATTCTAATAGAATAGATTAATTATAGAAGTGTGTTTCTGAATCGTGCAGTAAAATAGAGCAGAATCTAAAGAAAGGGGGGCGGGGGGCGCGCACTGGCATTATAACAAAGCGCCCGTCGCACGCCTCAGCCATCTGCATGTCAATGACACGAGTACAATAGTAGCACCTTGCCCCTTAACATCTTGAGGCCCATTATCCAGCAGATGTCCGAGCTGCAACTGCTCCATCTGCCAGGGTGGATGGGTTGGGGGGGGGGGGGGGGGGGGCTCACAGTTTTCATCCAATGCCTCTATTGTGTACAAGGGGCCCCCCTCAAGTCTGGCTGCTAGTTTGTAAACATCTACAAAAGGATCCAGAGGCAAAAGTGTTCAGGATTTCTTAGTGTTTTATGTTGATCTTAAATACACCTCCTTGTTTTGCTAATCAGTGCTACATAATATTATGAGCATAGCTTAATTTTATAGGCTATTCATAATGTGAAATTTGATATTTCTGAAGTGGAATCAAAAAAGGCAAAATGCAGGAATAAGTCACAGATAAGCATTTAATGCATTTTAACATTCAATAAAAAATGTGCAAAAAAGTGCAAAAATTTAAAATAAATCAACAGGACTACGAACACAAATGATCTGATTAAAAAAAACAGGCACAGAAAAAATGAGACATGATTTTTTACACCATTTTATACATGAATACATTCTGATCAACAGCATGTTTCATCAGTAGGCTTTTTATGTAACTGCATGAATACGATTCAGAAATGCTTCACTGTCGTAACAGATCATAACATCTTCACCTGAATGCATCATATAGTCAATAGTTGCTTACATTTGTACAGGAGGAACTGCAAAGAAAGTGGGGATTTTGGGTAAGAGTCACAGACATCACTACAAACAATGGAGCAAAAGCTGAACAGGACAGATACAGTTACGAACATTTCATCTGGAGATTTTCCCTTCTGTTGTAGATGTTCAACAGGTACCACAGACAAGTTAATTTATCTGGTTAAGTTTATCACCTTGCGTGAGAGCAGTGCTGCCAAATGTGAGATCATGATTTTGTCACTATATTACCGTCACGCCATTTCATCCTTCTTAACTGTAAGGAGACTTGGAAAAATAGAGAATGAAAAATTACAATCGCCCGTTAAAAATGAATATTTAATCTTAATAAATCAAGACACAAGTACATCGAAGCTATTAAAAATATATTAAAGGATTTCATTATTAAAAAGTGCAGAAACAGCATAGCCGCTAGCTGCAAGCTGAAGGCTCGTTACCCTCTGCTACAAGGGTAAAGAGAAACAGGATTGTTTATACATGCCCAACATTATACACATCCGAGATAATCCACTGAAATCTTCATTTACTGTCAATACTAAATGTTTAACTTCTTTCATATGATTTTGTATGCAATGCCCTGTTTTTCTGGAGAAATTATAATGCATAATAATAATGATAATAACATATAACAATATAACAACCCTAACTTGTGAAAACAGTAAATGCAGTGCATATATGAAGGACAGTAGTTCCACCAGAATAACCCTGATCTCCACAGTTTGAAGATACTTTTCTGTTCCCTTTCCATCGGTAAAAGTCAAGGTGAAACTTAAAAGCGAGGCTTTTAGAATAAATGTTAACATTTTCGTTTTTACATTTCATCCGAGTGGTGTTTCTGGATGGTAACTGTGATCGATTTCTGCTCCCTCCAGTTTCTGTCGGACCCTGGAACGTGGTACTCAATGGGCGGTACTGGAGTTTCCGGCAGCCTCTCACCCACGGAGCTGGCCGGCTTCAGCTCGGACTTTGGTGGAGTCGGGAAATCAGAAGATGAGTTGCTGTTGACTCCAGACTCGGACTCAGGATGCTCCACCCGCTGGTAGTCTGGAGTGTGAATCTGACTGCTGGAGAACTTGTTTTGTAGACCCAGGATGTTCTCCTCAGCCTCAAACTCCAGAGAAGGAAGCGAGGAGCTCTCCTCAACCGGAATGGAACGGATAGTTCTTGACAATACTGCAAGACAATAATATATAATTAGCTATAGGGATAATTATAAGATATGCATTTTAAATAAAGTATCTGCTTAGGACAATAAAACTGCTCTCAACCACCCATTTTCCCCTTACACCTCAGTACTATGATCACAAAATCCCAATTTGTCTCAGAATTTGTCTGGTAACCTTAGATACATGAAACATGTTTCTCAGTGAGTCAAGTTAAGATAAAGGCATCCTTTGATAGCCCACTGCAGCCAGCCATCCTGAAGGGTCAAAGGTAAACTGTACGTCTCCTTTTGACGGACAGCAGCGAGAATTACCTCCTGAGGGGGCATATAGATCCGTCTGATTCCCGCTGCCGCCAAAGGGGTTGACAGAAGGAAAGATGATCAGGCAGAAAGACAGCAGGAACACCTGGACGTAAAGAAAGGAGAAACCATTAAACAAAGCCGGTGGCATTACCTAAGATGCACTTTAGGTTTTTGTCTCATCAGTTTGAATAGATGCTTCCTTATTTAAATCACTAGGTCTAACAAAGGCAGCTGGATAGCACCTGAAATCGGATTATCAATTGCCAGTTTATAAATGATTTACTGAACTGACACAAAATCAGACCATGACACTGGCTGAAATGGGAAGCTCTGCCTCCCCCTTAAGGTTCACCGTTCATTAGCGTGGTAAACCCGCTTGTGTGTTTTGGGGATGAGCAGACGGGTGGGGGTTCAGCACAGTGGACTCACCATGAGGCAGGTGCTGGTTGTGCTCGTCTTCATGGTTGAGAGTTTTATCAGAGACTGCAGCTTCCTCACCTGTTCAATCAGAGATCTGGGACAAGAGAACTTATAAATAAGGCAGAAGAGACCTTCATGTACATTTAGAAAAATGGCTGACAAACACTGGGAACATTCACCAATAAAACCAAGATGCGAGAGTGCATGAAATAATAATGCCTCTGCAGCTCTATGGAACAAGAACGACTGCTATAAGACGTCCCCCGGGTACAGTTTGATTCTTCCTCAGAAGTACAATAGCTGACTGATCATAAGTCATAATGTCCCAAGTCTGCCTGCTGCACACAATAACAGCTGCTCTTTGTTACAAGAACAGAGCGAAACAGAAAGAAAGAGCAGTCTTACATGTTTTGTTTCTGCAGGGTTTGAACCTTCTTTTGCAGCTCCTGATTCTGAGCAGTGCAGACAGCAACCCTGAGAAAAGGGCCGTCCATCAGACACACAACGAATGGATCTCAGCACATGTCACTCTACACCAGCTCTGTAGGTCACAGGCGGCATCAATAAAACAGCACAACTCATATAAAATAATCCAAAGCAAAGTCATTCAGCTTCTTTAATCATCATATTTCATTTTAATGACAAAAGCAAGGATAACTAACAGGATAAGTTAAACCTGATGTAATTTCACTGGAGACAAAACACTTTAAAAAAAAAAAAAAAAATCATGTTACTTCAGTTCAAAGTGAGATTCATCTAGTCTACATGATTTTCAATTGTATCATTTGTACCTGTTCATAAGGGTTTTCCACTCTATCACAGTGATTCCGCATTTATTCTTACTCACCTGTTCTCTAACCCATCCACATACACCTTCTTCTTTTTTCGGCTTTCCTGTGCAGACTGCTTGTTCCGGATCTTTCTCCTAATCCTTTTCAGAGTCCTCTCCTCCGCCTGAAACAGTTCCAGAATCACTCAGGATTGTGAGACGTAAAAATGCAATAAACTTTTTACTGATGCCAGACAGAGAGGAATAATGGAAATATGAATATTTAAATATTCAAAAGTAATAAAACTGCCATTTATCCTGGGGTGTGGCTCACAGCCAGCAGGTGGCAGCAGGGAGTATAAATTCTACACTCTGCAGACTTGCATCACGAACAGGAACATTGTTATTACTAAATGGTGTTTTGTAGAGGATCATAGCTACAAAAATATTAATAAAAAAACACAAGTTGTCTCTTCAAGGTTGATAAAAGGTTTCCAATTTAAATCCAGAGTAAAACAGGACCACTGTACCTTTGAGTAAATATCTCGATTTAATACAAAGGGACTTTCAAATATAAATACAAAAAAGTACATAAAATGTGCATAAACGTTTTGTGTAAGCACATCATTTGCTGTCAAAGGTTAAACTTTCTTCACAACTCCCACTAGGGACGTGTAGTTTGCTTCCTGTGGTTTCGTACATTAGACCCTGATAAAGGTGGTAATGAAGGGCAGTAAAGATACCAGCTGAGCTGCTCATCTTCTCAGAGGCTGTGGTGTCTGTGTTCCCCATCAGGGCGTTTAACCCTTGGTCACACATCCCAGATGGGATGACAGGGACACACAGGGACCGTACCTTTGTCAGGGGCATGTGAGTCGGCATGGATATGCCTTCTTTTGTGAGAAGTCTCTTCTCTTCAGCTGTCAGAACGATTTCCTGGAACTGAAGAAAAATCTCATTCAGAGAGTACTCATTCTACTCCTTCATTCCAGCATGAAAGGTTAAAATTCCACCTTAAAAAAAAAATTACCGTATGTGCAGTAAAAAAGTAAAAACACCAGGTGGCGCTCAAGAGTTTTAGAAGAACGCTCTCCTTTGCCCAGCTGCAACTGGCCCATTTTCAAGCAATTTTCATCCTCATAGTCTATTTGCACAACACATTGCACAATAATTTATCCCAACCCCCCCCCCACCACCCCAAAGTGACGCCCACATGGCTGTAGGTGGAGCCAAACCAACAAAGGTCAAGCTTGCAGTAGAAAGACTGAAAGGAAATGGGAGGTTGACAGCACATGCAAAGGGAGATGTGGGTGGCAGTCTGCACCCCCCCCCAAACCGGTGGGGGTACCGAGCTGCATAAGAAATTAGATCACTGGAAAAATTCCAAACAGA